GTACAGGTTCGAATGTCTAGATGTTGTACTGTGCCCCACTCCTTTTAATACTCATACATACAGACACTCACACACACACACACACACGCACACATACACACACTCACATACACACACACAGACACACACACACACACACACACACACACACAAACTCGGCTTTCGTAGTTGTACAGGGTTCAGCATCTCAAAATAATTTTCAATCCGTTGGTCAAGTCACAGTGGTATCTTTGACATACTTTAGTTACCCCAGCAATGGTAAAAAATCTGCTTGTCTTTAACGTAGCAATAACATTATAGAGTGTGAAAGTCAAGTACTCTACATCACCAACGCTTAATCTCGGCTTAGAACAACTACTTTTAAGTAATAAACACTTTGCTGTCTTATTGATGTGGACTCCAAATTCTGAAAGTGCACCGTTGTGAATAAAAAATATCTCTGAACTATAAAAGACTCGAATCATAATATAATATCCTAGACCTTGCACTGTCCTGATCGCCACTCTTTGATCTCTAAAACAAGTTTTGGGCTGCGAAAAGTGCGAACCAAGGTCGTCCAACATAGGGCAAATCACCGGCCTCGTCATAGTCAAGTGTACGTAGCACCTTTCCCCCCATGTCCTTCATTTTATGTTATGGCTCCGAATTGAGGCAAATGGTGCGCTCCATAGTGAACTGGAATTGTGTCAACATGTGCACATAGCTTTAAAAAGTTGGAATGGGCGTTTACTCAAGGAGGTTACAAATAGGTACAATTATAACCTCTTTGTTATTTAATGTATACAATTTCGCATTTCATGAACTCTACACCGTTTTCCTATCAATGCAGTGGTTATTCCGGAAATAAGGAAAATTGTAGCTGTCAGTCGCAAGCGAGAGGGATCGTCTGCTTGTGACAGATCCCCTGCCTCGTTGTTACGCTCCTGCACACATTCGGTCAAGTTGGAGCAGATAAGTGATCAATGGGGTGTGTTCTTGAGTAAGGCATTTTGCCCCCCAAGCATATACCCCCCCCCCCCGTCCACGGAAAAACCACAACAAAAAATCAAAATAGCCTGTACAATGATATGCGGCATGTTCTCCTGTCCTTGTGAAGCAAATCTACCTGCGAGGGAATGAAAAAAAATCCACCAATTTTCTTTTCTTTTCTTTTCATTCTTTTTCAACAGGTCGAATCTGCTCTAAGGGTCATCCCTGAATAAAACAATCAGCTCTACAAACGACCCCTTCCCATTTGCCCCCTAAAGTTTTAAAGAAACCAAAACATTATAATGGCACTGTGTGAGACAGCCACCTGCCCAAGACAACCGCTATTCTTGTCAAAAATAGGTGGCCGTCTTAGAAAGTTTCGACAATATAGTATACGGCCTACATTTCAGTCTTGGACGGGACTGATATTTTCACATATGCCAGATTTTTTTTTGAAGGACCAATATTATGTTGGGTCTCGAGATGTTATCGCACTTTTAGCTGTTTACAAATTATAATACGTTTAGTGTAGCATCCACGATCTGTTGGTTTTGTGCTGTTGATGAGGCAACAATATGCAGTTAATCATTACATCACATTTGTATACTTTATCTTACTTTAGGAGAGGGAGCTATTGCGCTGCCAAGAGCGAAATGCTCACAGCTAAAGGGATTTGAAAACAATAACAACAACAACATCTTACTATAGGTGCTATAAATAAATGCTATCTTTCTTTCTTTCTTTCTTTCTTTCTTTTTCTTTCTTTCTTTCTTTCTTTCTTTCTTTCTTTCTTTCTTTCTTTTTTTCTTTTTTTCTTTCTTTCTCAGTGTTGTCCTTCCACCGCAGGATTTATCCCTCCAACAATGACTTCCGATTTGTTCTATCTGCTGTTCTCCCGCTTCAGGCTGCTTCGTCTGCTCCCTGAGGTAATCTTTCCATCTTTTTTCTGGTCTTTCTTTTGGGCGTTTTCCTGTTCTTGATCTCCATTCAGGTCATCTTGTTTTTCATCTTTTATCCATTTTACCAATCTTTTCAGCCCATTTCCATTTGTGTTTGAGTCAAGGACTACTATACTCAGTATAGTAGTCCTTGGTTTGAGTATAAATGTGGTGATATCTGCCACCCCTGTTTTCTTTCGTATTTTTGTGCGTTTTATTTGCTCTTTCATTCTTTGACTCAGCATCTTCTTTTCCACAGCGCTCTGTTTTTTGTTCTTAATTTCTTTATAACATTTCTGGTGAATGGCCAGTTTCAACACCCATAGCTTACGACTAGGTCAAAGCACTGGTCGAAAAACTTATCCGTTTAGTGATTACGGCAGATTTTGTTCTGTAAATATTTCTGTATATCTTCCAAAGCAACCCCAAGCCGCATACTATAAAAATCTCCTTCTGTTCATCCCGATGTTTGTGCTCTCCTCCATACTTGTTGTTTGACCCAAGCAGGCATATGTACATTCTGCCACTTTTTCAAAGTTCAGTGGGTGGTTGTCGGGTGCTCTGGTGTGGTTTGCTCTTTCTTTCCTGTCAAACATCTATCGTTCTTATCTCCCCTCTTTCTTTTCTGTGTTTGTTACTCACTTGTAACACCTCAAATCTACGGCACTTATATGACCTTACTGCATTGCAAGTACCTTAATAAAGATTTTACCTTATAAAGAGATCTATTTTCTTGTTTTCTATTGCTCGTGTTTTGTCGTGGTGTAGTTTCTCAAGTATTAAATTTTGTTTTAGTGAGGTTTTACAGCGCTTGCAACTGCATACGGTCATATGAACGCCAAGGGGGTGGATGTCAACAGAGAAGTCCAAACGGGGAATCAGGCTCACTCTGCACACCTCTCTAGCCCCAACAGCACAAAGTCTGCTTCAACTATCAAGGCTCCTTGGAAATAGCAGTTCACAAGAGAGTGACAAACGTTTCGTACAAAGAAGAAGAGGAAAAATGACGATAGTAAGGATGAGGAAAGAAAAAGTAGCAGCTTCCCCTCTGTTGTTCCGGCACTGTATGAGCCTGACACTGATAAGTCAGCCCATTTACAATTCTACTGTGCATAAGAACATGTTAGATAATCGAATATTCCACTTTGGGAATGGCCTAAAGATACTTCAGC